CACAAGAGAGAGAGAGAGCTCAGGTGGGAGCCACGAGAGAGAGAGAGAGAGCTCAGGTGGGAGACACGAGAGAGAGCGAGCTCAGGTGGGAGACACGAGAGAGAGCTCAGGTGGGCTGCCTGCGCTTACGGGACGGCCGAGGCGATCCTGGCGCCAGGAGTCTGGGTGCAGAGCCTGCTGCTCCGTGGCTCAGAGGTTCCCCACCAGAGCTTCAGGGGCTGAGGCGACAGCCCCAACGGCCGCGGTGTTGGGACATGAGGCCATCGCCACTAGACGGGAGGAACTGTGATCCTACGCGGGCTTGAGAAAAGCACTTTGGGCTCAGTGATCAACAGGATTTCAACATGCAGCTTAATTCCTCTATTTGCTGCAGACCCAGCATAACGCTAAAGCAAACCCTGTCTGCCTGGGGGAGATCCTGTCAGTTTCCAGGGGCAGACGAAAGGCACAGCGCTGTGACGGCTAGCGGGCTGTTCCCGAGGACCGCGCTTACGATTATTTCATTTTGCCCCTAGGTGAGACTGCTGATCGGCAGCTCCACAGCGATCAGTCTGATACAGTGGAGAGACAAAGTCGGGAGAAAGCATTTGAGAAAACCCCGCTTCCGGTCACCTGACACAAACGCACCTTCGGAGGAGGCACCGGGCGGCCGAGCTGCTGGTACTGCTCCCCGTGTGTTCAGTTATCTAAAGGTTCAGCCCCTTCCCGGCTCTTGGTCAAGGGAAGGGCCTGGGCCACCACCCACACCTCGTGCCTGGCTGAATCTGGCAGGTGGACAGTGCTTTCTGAACATCTGCCGGCCGTCGATTACGACGGGCAGCAGGAGTTGATCATCTGCAGGTAAGATTTTAGCTCCAGGGCTGGGGCGAGACGGGCAGGCAGGTGAGAGCCGGCCCAGACACGCGCCTGGCCTGGCAGCCCGGCTCGGCTCTCGCCGCACGGCGTCGGCCAGGGAGTTCACCCCGGGAGAAGCCGGCTAGCGAGCCACAGCCAGTTGACTTTTTGACCTGAGAATTGCCAGGTTCTTGAGTGTCTACATGAACCCCATTTTTCAAGAGGCCACCTCCTCCTCAAGCCCCCTCAGCAGCGAGACCTCCGGCGACACGATGCCGACCACCCCAGGTACGGCTCATGAGCTGGCTCAGCTCTGTTTGTTTCTGACGCTTCCCCTTTCCTGCCGGTGCTGGCAGGCTCCTTGTTCCCACCCCCGTTTGCACTGGTGTCCAGTCAGGCGGCCAGTGGGGTACACTAAACTGCCGAAACGAGAACACAACTGCAGTGGAAGCAAAATTCACACTTCAGAAGTGTGGCTCCAAAAGGAACCAGAACCAGCCCCGCGAACAGCTCACGTGTGTGTGTGTGTGTGTGTGTGTGTGTGTGCAGAGACGCCGTGGGCCCTGGCGAGCTGGCAGTGACCTCACGTCTGCCGGAACCCCGGGCCGCTGCATGCCATGCAGGGCCCCACCGGCAGCCATGAGCCGCCAACGTAAGTCAGAACAGCATTATCTTAGTGGCCACTGTTGACAGGCACGGGAGGGTGTTCCTAGAGCCGCCCACTAGAGCAGCCCGTGCTGTGCTGTCTGTCGTTTTCAGGCCAGAGAAAATAACAACGTGGAGAAATAACTGGCCAAGTTAGCAGTTAACTGCAGTTGGAGTGTATGTAAATATTACGACGATTTGTACCTATTCAAAGGCGACTGTTCTGATTCATAAGAAGGGAGCTCTACGTTAGGAGATTCCCATTTCTGGTCAAATCGTACCTTTCACATCTTCATCCTCAATTGTGGTATTTGAACTCTCGGTTGACTCCTGTTGAGAAGAAAACAGATTTTAAGTTGCCAATAAGCAATGCCTTCATCTGTGTTCCTTCTTAAAACAAGTAATGTTTGTATCATGCAAGCTCCTTCAGCAGGCTGTGAGCATATGCTGACATGCAGATGGACAAATACATGGTTTTAACAGAAAAAAAAAATGCCACAATCATTCCCAAAAAGGAGTACTCTGGTTGCCGGTCTCCAGGAAAGCTGGTGATGTGGAGCAGCAGCTCGAGTCGCTGCTTACTGTGAGACCTGTGTAAGGACGTTGGGGTGGCGCAGCGCCGTCGGGCCGCGGCCGTGGGAGTAGTGACGAGAAGTCAGGCCTCAGCCTGATGAACTTGAGCCTTAAAACGGGCCAATTTCGACCGTTGCCTGTGTAGAAGGCACTAGATCGTGCACTGAGTTCAGCCCGTTGGCCTCACTCCTCTGTAGAGCGAGAGAGCACATTTGCCGATTACTTGAAGTGGCGCGTGCTCAGCTGAAATTTGCTAAAAGTGCTTTTAGGAGTTACCACGAGTATGATCAGCACGGCAGAATTTTAATGAATACTTTACTTTCAGGAGTAATTACATTTTTTCCCCATTCATTTTACATTAGAAATAACTGGTTCTTATAGATAAGAAACCACTCCCATAAGGAGAAGGCAAGGCTATTTTCTTTATAAAATGACAAATGAAGTTGGAGATTATTAAGCATATTTCAAAAGGATGCTGTACATACAGTCCGTACAAAGGTCTGATCAATTCTTCCCCTAATAAGACTTTCCAGTCATATTCATAAAAAACACTTTCTTACTTGGAATGATGTAAGGAGAAAGCTGAAGACATGCTTTTGCAAAATGATGCCAAAGCCCATTTCAGAGATTCAGTATTCAAAAAAATGATAAGCTGATAGAAATATCAGATACAATACTGAAGCCCAAGGGAGAGACTAACCAAAGATGTATCCAGAGTCTCCTTGTGCACACTCAAAACCAAAGCTAATGATTTCATGCGTTTTCTTAATCTTAAGGTGACCTGGTGTCCACACTGGTGTTCAGGACGAAGGGAGACCCATGCACTGTAAAGCCACCGATGGAGCACGGAACAGGCATGCAGCACCTCTTACAAGTGATACAGCTACAACTATGGAAGTGTCCACTCCAGCTATTACGCCTGGTCTTTCACTTGGTAAGGACATTAAAAAAACAAAACTCTCCACACAAGTGATGTTCTGGACTATGTCAAATGTTTTAGGGACTTCGAAACTTAGAACATTTGAAGTCATGACTGTAAAACCTCACCTTAGATCGTAGCACTTGTTCAAAGACTAAGGAGAAGGCCCATAACAACACTCACTAACATTCTTTTCTTTACTGTTAAGTTACCCTTGGAGAGAGAATAATGTGAGAGAAGCCATGGACAGAAACACTGAGGAACTGTCCACTGTGACGCTATACACAAATACTGTTATTAAGTGGTTAGGAACAGTCTTCTTTCAGCATAAGGAGTTACATTTCTGTTACTGAGATGCATGTTGTTCAAAACCGTATCTCACAAGGACTGAAACTCCCGATTCTCAGATTCATGCCAAGCAACAAATCGACAACAGGGAATTAAGAGACTAAGACAACAGGGTAAATCGAACTCAAAAATAACGTGAAGTATAAGCAGATCCTCATGAATTCTATTGCTACCTTTGATGACAATGGAATGAGAGAGCCAGAAATGATAAAATGCCATGCAGAACATACACCTATAGCACAAAACACAGACAGGTGGTGGGCGAGCAAAGACCAGACGGAATTGCTTAAGATACAGTCATCTCGACAGAAAGACGTCGACTTTCATCGACTAAGCGTGTCATTCATTTCTCTTTCAAGATCTCATGCCCTTTCTGTTTTGAAAGAGATCGGTGTAAGGTCCTACAGAAGCTAGGCCCTGAAGGAAGTATGATAGGGAAAACGTGAAGCACTTTCTTTCCTCTTTTTAGAGCGTGCATTTTGCAGGGACTACTGGATGGGGTGTGTAATCTCGTTACAAAGCACCATGATTCGTTCGGAATACCTTGTTTCCGTCAGGGTTGTGGATTACAGTAGTTTGGGGCTCCTGAGTGAGAACAAAATAGAGAAAGAAACAGTTCGCATTGGTAAGTACATTCTTCACTACTGCGCGGACAGAGGAGGGAGCAGCTGACAGAACAGGGGCGACAAGAGCTTAAGCGAGGCGAGCTGCTGCCGCAGGGTGCGGCTGGCAGGGCCTGATGAGGAGCTCCATGGCAGAGCCCCGGGGCGGGACAGGTGGCTGGCAGCGGCGGCATGCAAGAGACCTTATTCACCGTGGGCACAGACGAGGCTTTGAAGTGTGGACACCCAAAGAGGCACTGACTGTTTCACCGATTTTAACAAAACAGAGCGTTCCTTCCTCTTTTAATGAGGAGGCTGTTGCTGTGCATTCCGTGCAGAACTGGCCGAGAACACAAGCGGTCAGAACTGTGTGGGATGAGGGCACAGTCTTAGCGACATTTTTCTGATGACGGCTTTGCCAGTTACAGTGTTGCTGTAAGTAATACCCCCACGAGTGCCCTTGCACATCTCTGGAACACACTTGTAAAAATACTGCCGGGAATGCAGATCAAGTGTGTCCTGATGTGTATAAGAAATTCTGAGGCATATTTAAGTGGCTCATTAGGAGAGGTCTAGAACTAATCATCTCCTCATTACAACAGAAGTCATATTGCTATTTGCTGACATTTCTTCTGCTTTAGGAATGCATCCATACAGAAGATTTGAAAAGTTGATTCCATTTTCCTTTATGGAAAAAACCAACACTCGGAAAAATGACGAAATAAAAAAAAAAAATCTTGTCCTTGCATTTCCACTGGCATGAAGCCAAGGGAGCATGCGCACACTTGCAAACACCAGCACTGTCCCGTAGGTGACCTGGTATCTGACTGTGTCCTAGCGTGCTTTCTTTAGATGTGCTTCAAATGAGCCTTCTGGTCCACCACGTGAAATAACACCTAACATTTTTATTCCTTAAGATTGTTATCTTAGTAATGATTCCAAGTCTTAGTAAAGAGGATAGTCAGACATCAGAATCACTTCTGAAAACTGTAACCACAAGTGGAACTCAGATCGGTGAGTGCAGCGTTCACATCTCAAATGTGAACATACTGCTGTAAATCGTCAGACTGAACTAGTTGTTACGAATATGAATTTGATCGAAATGGACAAAACAGATCTGTACCAGTACGGAAAGCTCTGTGCTACTCGGCTTCGTTCTCTGGGTTAAAGGGAAACAGTGATAATTTAATTTCAAAGACAACAAACCACAGGCTTTAAATTATCCAGTGCCTCTTTTCCTCAGAAGAGGAGGTCTTTCAAAGCCCTGCTGTCTTTTCGGAAGATGGAAATGGGACTCTGAATAAGGTCTACTTCACTGTTGTCTGGCAACAACCCCTTAGCTCTCCTTGATGTCAACCTTTGCATCATGAAAGGTAGAAAGCACTGTTTGTATCATCCACCAGATGATCTATCATCACCAGAAGAGCTAAGAGCAACTGAAGCACGTTCGTTCCCCTGCGACTCGAAGGCTGCATGCAACACCTGGACTACGAGACCACAGGTAGCAGAACAATGTTCAACAATGAAATGAGATCATCTCATGTTGGAAGCACACCGCCTAACTATCTGAACCAAAAGGAAAAAAAAATCTTTCATATCTTAGAAAGCAAAAACAAACAGTCCAACAAAATAGATATATGTATATCTAGAGAGTGAAAGCAAATGAGAGAAACAAACAGTAAAGAGTTAAGAAGGGTTACAAAGAGTCCAGGTATACCAGCGCCGGGGTGGGGATATTTTCTTTGGGGCTGGTTACCACGTTGGCTTTGTTGTTGATCTGTAGGTATGCAGAAAATAGAAACAGAGATGCTTAAACCCCTGGGCAGCCGAAGTCCCTACACACAGCGTGTCTACGTGGAGGTAGGGTCGAGGGCTAGAGAGCCACGGAAGGCGGCTGTCGGGCACTAAGGGCAGACAGCGGGCAGCCAATGGACAGACCCGGCTGTCCCTTACGGGCAAGGGCGCCTCTCAACAGAGCTCGAGTCTCATTTCGGAGTATGAAATGAACAGTCAGGTTTGGATTCTGTCAGTCAGGTCTTCTTCAGAAAAAAACATTCTGAGTGTATGTTTTATCTTTTATACTTGTTTTGCAGGAACCAAGGGTTTGTTGTCATGGGACTACTTTGGTACATCCCACCTTTGCTTTTTAGGGTCCCGGGGTCTGACTGTGAAGAGATCATTCCCACATTGAAGCCACACTGAAAAGAACTAGGGTGTCTGGAAGTTTCCGTGACCCAGAGACGACCTTTTTGGTACACAGTGGTGGCAAGTGGGAGCCACAGTATGGGCACTTGGTAACCAAAGACGAAACCTAATAACCCACAGTCCTTGTAATTCATGTGTGGCAACTTAGATGATGTGATTTAGCATCGTGTGACGTAATTATAACTCAGAAAGTGAAATTCTGAGGCACTACGTTTTCTTACACATTATTGCCTAGAAGAATATACCCTGTAATTTTAGTACAGCCGTATTTGAGGGCTTGGAGAAGAACTTACCACATATAATAAATGAACGCGGCCTGAGTAATTTACAAGGATCTCTACCAATTAACTCTTTCGCATGTTCGTTTTCTACCTCCAGGTCCCACGAAACTAATACTTGGAAGAAGACAGAAGGCTGAAGCAGAAATGTAGGTACGTGCTATTGTTTCACTTTTCTGTTCACACACTGGTGTGATGATTTGGTATCAATACGCTGAACGCTGGCCCATGACATGCAGGAGAAAACTTTGGTTCTCTTCCCAGCAGTCTACACTTTGCTAAACTGTGCAGCGGCTGAGCGGAGCGAGGAATAACGGCTTAAGGCGGGCTGAGACCAGCAGCAGCAGGCGCTCACTGCACACAGCTTCCTGCTCTGGAGGAGCGTCTGGCGCACAACTGAATTCTTCTAAGGCCTCAGGGGTGAGTTTGATTAAAAGACCAACAGTGGCATCACACCAGTGGAAAGCAAGGCTGGAAGGGGGACACACACAGGCCTGGCTTCCCCTCCTCCCCCCTCAGTGAAGGAAGCCAGAGGAGCGTGTGCCCAGCCACAGCTCAGGCGTGCGAGATGCTTAAATGCAGCGGTTTTCTCAAACATCACCTTTGTCTTTTTTCCCCCTGCTACATGAAAAAAAATACTTTACACAAGGTAACTACGACATTACTGCACCTCTTACTTAGAAATTCCATTTTCCGACTGTCACAGTATGGGGCCAACCACAGCTGTCTTAGACAAGAATGTGCTGGAAATGCAGATTTTAAAAGGGAGGGAGCAGCCATCTTAGCAAAAATCTAACTCATGCACTGATTTGCAGTGTATGTTCAGGCAGTCTCTACTATCCACAGGCTGTGTCCTTGCCAGGGCCCTGCGCTGAGCGTCGGTTAGCAGAGGCCCGTGACGGCCTACATGGTCTCTGCTAGCCGATGTAAACCATAAACCAGACTTTCTTATTCCTGGGTGTGCATTTTCACAAGAGAAAAAAGCCTGGGAGATAAGAGATCCTCACCATCATCTCAACACTCGAACTGGACTTCCTTTTCTGAAATGACCAGTCGAAAAGAAAAGAAAAAAAATACAACCCATTGAACATTTATAGTATGAGAGCACAACACACAGATTCACTGAATCTTTAAAGAGGAGCTGTAAGTTGACTAGCAGAAAAATTCCTAAAAAGGTTTTTCACTACTTAAGCACAGTCGGGAGACCCAACTCTGGGGCAGTGCAGGTAGCGCATTTCCACCACTTCACGCCGGGCAGCGTGAGGAAGAGAACGCCACACGCTGAGGGCCGCACGGGCTCCCCGAGTCTCGCTCGGGGAGGAGCCGCGAGGGCACATGCTATATTGTGTTTTCAGAGTGAACCGACCACCCGGACTCTGGGTCCAGGTCACGCGTTCGTGTGGTGAAGGGACACACCTGCCTTTGGAAGAGAAACACAAGAGTTAGAGCAGCCGCACTCTGAGGAAACAGCCTAGAGAGGTAAACGCACCGCAAATACAAGGTTTCATTCATCCCAGGGAAATTTCTGTGAACCAAGATAGAATCAGTAGAGAACAAGAGGGGTTCTTCTGTTTACAGATCCAAGGAAACAAATATCTCAGACACTCAGACAGTGATTGTAACTGGTGAGAGTATTCAGCTCTGGGATATAGCTCACTGCCCGGCGATACAAGCACAGAAACAGTCATGGCCTTTCTAAAAAAAAACTGCACAGGAAGGAAAGTGTATCATGGTGACACCTGATTTCCCAGACTCATCAGTGATTTCGCTTGTCTCAGGCTGCACGTTTTGGCAGCCTCTAAGACACAGCGTAACTGTTCACAAAAGCGTGAGCATGTGTATATTCTTCACATCACCATGAGATGTGGGGACTGGGGTACAGAGATTTTTTTGTTACTACTGTCGCAGAGAAGGAACCTAGCTTTCCTTGGTGCCCAGGGATCAGTGCGTGAAGTCATGTCACAGGCCAACCGCCGTCACTGTCAGGAGGCCTCCAGAAGACAAGCAGCGAGGCTCCGGAGCTCCCGCCGACACTGCCCACTGGCCTCGGCCAGCTGTGCGCCCGGGAACACCCGCTCAACTTACCTTGACGCCGTCTGGTTTCTTCAGCAAACTCTTGGCTGCTGCAAAATGAGAGCAAAAGCGTTCAGTGAGTGTTGGCGGAGACCAGGCAGGCAACAGTCAGCTGCTTTCCTCGTGCCCCTTCACTACCTGATGACACAGATGAGCGAGCTGACAGGACATTGGAACACAGAATCGCTTTTCTTGGTTTTGCCACATCCAGTTGAGAACTAAATTCGTATTTAGTTCACTGCGTGTCATTAGGAATTGGGCCGTTTTTGTTGTTTGACTTCATTTCAGTCTTGGCTGCGGAAAGGATACTGGAGCTTTAACTGGACTATGCTTTAGTAATCCAGAAAGTTTGTTTCGTTTTCAGGCATCAGCTTCCAGACCAGAGTACACGGGCATCCGCACTCCAAGTCCGCTGGCTACGTCAGTTCTGCCAGGTAAGCTGCTCTCTCTGGAGGTTTAAACTCATTTGTGAAAATTTGCTCTGGCTAAAAAAAAAATCTTGTAAAAAAATATACATTTAAAAAAATTAGGTCCCTGAATTTGTACAAAAACTAAATGGTCAGGATAAATTTGAACCATTTTAAAATGAAAACGGTGTATCGCTGACCTAGAGCAAATTTTCTTTCTTTTTTTTTTTAAACACTCAGCATACGACTTTTGTAAAGCAGTATGAGATTTTATGTTTCTGAGTGAGACTAGAAAGGCTTCATCAGCAGCGCCTTTGACATAGAAAAATTACAGAATTGGAGGCAAGGTAAGAAATGAAATGAAATCACCAACAGAATCAGAACTCCTAATGCCTACGGTCGAATGTGAAACCCGTCTTTCACACTCCTGTTCTAGACCTGCGTGTGTGTGCGAAGGTGAAGTCCTGGTGACCAAACGTACGTGTGCGTGGAAACAAACAGTGACCGGGACACGAACGGTCAGTGTCGGTCAGCACACTGAGGGCAGGACGTTCACGAAGACGGAGAACAGAGTCGAGGCTTAAGGGCTGGCGGGATGCCACTGTGTCAGCGTGGCACGGAGCTTCCGACAGGGGAATTGACGCACACGTAATTCCCTTACATCGACCGGGTTGGGACATGATTCTAAGTCTTTCACAGAGATAAAAGTATTAATTGTGATTTAGTCTTGAGCAACAAGGCTATACTTTGATATGGCAAGAGGCGTTGCCTTCATTTGCCTGGCATCACAGAGCAACTGCTACAGAAGTTAGTTCATGGTGGTCGGTTAGGAAGCAAACTCAGTAACTGGAATTGCGGTAGCAAGCGAAGAGAAGACAATGATTAGGGGAAGCAGGGAGCTGGCCTGGAGATGCAGAAATGTCCCTTGTGGTCACTGTTCTCCTTACCTCACAAGAAATACATTCCACATAAAGGGAGAAAAGAAAAAATAAAAACTTTATAACCATATACTTATGGACAAATCACTTTAACGAGCATGTCTGGCAATGAAACAGAATGAATAGAATACTCAAAACCAAAACACAGCGTCAAGTACAAGGTGTAACTGGTCTGATGTTACGCAGTTGGCTTTGAAGTGATGGACTGGGGGTGGGGGGGGTCTGCTTTTCATGCTATGACACTCAGAGATGACCAGAAATCCACGTTAGTCATGGGTTTTTAGTTAACACGACAATGAAGTGAAAACGGGAGGTGAGCGGGGACCCCCGAACGCCGTGCGGGCGCCAGAGGCCCACCTGACCCAGGAGAGCGTGGCGACACCCTCGATCCGGACTTGCCCTGCCTCGGTGGCTCCCCAGTTACTGGGCCACAGCGGGGCGGTACTGCCATCGTGCAGACAGCGAGCACTTAGTGAAACGACCCTGAGCTCGGCCATCGGGACCGCCAGCTATGAGTTAATCCGCACGTCCTAACACAGGTGACCGGACACGGGCGGCCACAGGTTTCGAGACGCCGGACACAGCACCGCGGTCGGCCGCACTGCGCGGGGGCTGTGTCGGGGCTCGCCCGGGCCCCCGAAAGCACGCCTGTGTTTCCCCTCCCTCCCTCCAAGCCACGGGCCGCCTTGTGCAGCAGGCACAGCGGGCCGGGACGCTGGCTGCTGCCCGAGGAAACGGCTCACCCCACCTGCGGCCTCTGCCCTAGGCCCTCTCCCGATGTCACCACAGTGGCCATCCAGGCGCCAGCGGCCTCGGGAGCCAGCGCAGGCTCACCTGTGGCACGTCCCTGGGGCGGAAACGGCAGAGACGACGGGAGTGGTGCTGCCTCGGTCGCCAGGTCTCACAAGCCACACGGTAAGCTTACCGCGTCATACGGCTGGTGACTGATTAGCACCGGCCAAGATTTGACTTTTGCAAACCCGGTCTTTTGTGGGGGAGTCCATTCCACAGTGAACACACCAATGGCTGACCTGGAATCTCTGTCAGGAACATTTCTTTGTATGACCACATGGTAGGCTCACTGCACGGTCTTGTGTTTAGACAAGCGCTGAGCTCCAGGAAGAGATTTGGAATGCATTTCTCACTAAGAGGTAGTGACCAGAGCAGCAGTGGAAAGAGGAGAGGACAGAAAGGGGAGGGGGAGAGGCGAGGAGGAGGAAAGAGGAGAGAATATGGGAAACGAGGGAGAGGAGCGTCTGGTGTCCTGTAGTGTGAGCTCCGGGGGACCCTCGGCCCCTGCCGTGCAAAGAACTCAGGCTACGTGGTCCTCACCCACCCCGGTGACAGTGCTTTGCTGACTTGTTTCTGTTTGTGTTTGGTAAACCCCAGGAAGCCGCCTGAAGAGGGGGACAGAGTTGGTAACACAAGTACCTGAGAAGTTCCTGGTCGCCAGCATAGTGGTCAAGATGGCGCCCTGTCAGGAGGAAAAGACACAGTGAGCGCCGCCACTGCTCATCTCTGCCCCGCCGAGCGCCCGAGCCGGCACCTGCACCACTTCTGCTCCTGGCTGGACTCTGGGGCACAGGCTTGGGTGTGGCTTTCCTGTTCACCCCGCAGACGAGAGCCAGCAGGCCACCCCGGCGCGCTGAGCAGGGCTGCGGAGGCTTCACGCCACGGTCTGCTCTGCTGCCTGCACGCCCAGGGGGGCGCTGAACACTCCCCACGCCCACGGTCAATAGGCAAGGCCTTAACTTACCTTCAGTTTTCTCCTGGCATTAAATTTCTTCAAGCAGTCGACCGTCTCCTGCCTGTGCATCATGGAAGCCACAGTCGAACGTTGCTGGAAGAGGAGACCCAGGAGAAGCTTAGCTGAGGATGTGAGCGCGCCCCGGGGAGTGTAAGCCCCGCCCGGCCTTCCTCGGCACCCATGTGCCTGACACGGGCGTGAACGAGGTGCAGTGAGGGGGGAGAGTGGGGCGCAAGGTAGCGTGCACCCACGGGTTACCGTGCAGCGTTGCTTACGGGGAAAAAAGACTGCCAGGGTTTCAGGTTGCCTTTGGCCTCGGGAAACTGAAATCCCAGAGGGTGAGGCCCTGGAAGGGTGCTGGGGAGCAGGCCGAGGCGTCACCGTCACCTCCGGCCAGATGGCAAGGAGCGCGGGAGGGGGTGCCACCAGCCGCACCTGCCTGCGCCACGTCTGTCCTCTCCGTCACCCCCCTGCCTCCCAGTACCCAGCCGATCCATACATTTCCCCAAGGGTCGCACTGTGTCTCTTCGTTCTCCTAAGTAGATTCGGCCTGACACCCACCATCTGTCCTGGCAGTAGCCTTTGCTCCTGGTTTCCCGACCTGTCAGTTGCTGTGCTTGCTGGCTGAGAGCCAGCCCAGGGTGAATAAACTGTCACACCTGTCCTGCTGGGACATAACTTGCTCTCGGTGTCTTTTTCCTGGGTCGTATCGGCAGGAGGAGGGCGGCTCAGTCCTGGCGTTCCTGCAAGCAGTGTCTGTGCCCCTCAGCTTTACTGCTCAAAGTAGCATTCGCACCACCTCAGTACAGACTGAAATAGCTGGCTCATTCATGCACTGAGCTCCATCTTTTCCTGCAAAAATTTTCAACCCGTGCACAACGAACAGGCGGAAGAGTCTGCCCCTGTGAGTTCTGGGGAACCTGAAGCGCGGTCACTTACACAGATCCAGGGGTGCTTCAGGGCCTCCGAGGCTGTGATGCGCTTGGCTGGGTTGATTGTCAGCATTTTATTGATGAGGTCTTTGGCTTCGGGGGTCACTGTGTCCCACTCGGGTGACGGAAACTTCAAAAACACAAAAGAGTTGAAGCAGTAGATTCTCTCAGTGCAGTAGTGAAGACCCAGACACATTCGCTCTAACAAGCATTTTAAAATGCCTTAGGAATCTTCTAATTCCTCTTTGCTTTCCTCTGAAAATGAAATGTCTGCACAAAGGAGCAGGCGTGGTCACTTGAGAAACTCAACAAAGCCTCGGACAAAGTCCTGGGGCTGGGGGGTCGTGGCCTCAGGGCCACCACTTGCTTCTGTTGAGCGTATGCTCAACCAAGGCCTGGGGTGCACCATGGGGGAGGGAGCAGACTGGGAGGCCTTGGGGGACCACTCCTCAGGGGAGGAATCCAGCACTGCCCAAAAAATCACCAATGAACCCATCGGCTCACAGTGCTTATGTACTCATTTCGGTCATCAGCAGCTTGGGTAGGCAAAGTCCGCTTTAGTGGGCCTGAGACCTTCCTGGGGCTGGAAGCAGCCACCCAGGCTGCTGCCCTAAGGCTGTCGCTAAGCTGGAGTGGAATGCGTCCACGTGCTCATGGTAAGAGCACGTAAGCTGAGCTCACAGGTGGATAAGCTACAGATGCTCCCCTGGCCCTGCAGACAGCCCTCACTTTCACCCTGAGCTTGATGTGCGCATAGAGGGTGGAGCCACACTGCCTGGCACTTAGCAACCCGGTGTAGACCCAGCGCAACCACCGGAAGGCAGAGGTTGGTCAACCCTATCTGCAAACGTAGCTTTACCCAAGGATTGGCCATGAACTCGCCGAGCACAAAGTTAAGCCAGAGAGCTCATCTGCCTGCTTCGGAGAGAAAAGTACTGAAATTGTGTTCAAAGATTTTCCCTCCGTCACACTGGTGGGTCAAACGGAAGCTCGGCGCCAGCCCACTGGGTAAACCAGGCAAACAGGTCAGGCCCAGATCACGTTCCACGGAACACCCCGATGCTGCGACCCTGATACGTGACTGTAAATCACTGGGGGATGTCGGACTTTACCTCCACTAACCAGGCAGTGATTCTACAGTGAAAGTCTGAGCCATGGTGTCTTAAAATGCATGTGGAGCAAGGTCCTTCCTCAGTGTCTGTCACTTTTCCCTTTTAATCTTAGGAGATTGTGAGCTAGAATAAAGTGGAAATCAAATACAGTTCCTATCTTTGTTTTCCTACAAAAGAGAGAAACCTGAGAACTATGGCCGAGACAGCCACGGGCAAATATGCTTCCCGGCCTTTAACCCTCCAAAAAGCGAGCCGTGGCTCGGGCATGTACGTACGTCGTAAGCGCCAGCCTTGATCTGCTGGTACAGTCTGTGCTGGTCCTCGTCCCAGAAAGGGGGGTACCCCACCAGGAGGATGTAGAGGATGACACCTGGGGGAAGCAGAGACAAGTCACCCACAGTGCCACCCGCCCAGCCCAGCCCGAGGCCGCCACCCCCACACCTGCCCAGTCCGAGGCCGCCACCTCCCCTCAAGCCGACCTTTGGGGGAGAGGGCGCCTCGTCCTGCCTGAGCACGTGGGCTCGGAAGGGCGCCTCCCCCGTGATCAAGGACCCTTCAAACACGTGGGCACCGTGGACTCTGGGCCACAAACAGGCCCGGCACGCCCATGTCCACTCAGACTGGACGTGCACCTTTTTCTGAATCTATGGCCTTCAACAAAAAAGGCCGTTTCCCCCTTTCCGCCGTGTCGTCGGGTTGCGGGACGCCGGCTGCCCGGCGCGGTCCCCACCGGCTGCCCTGGGCGTCCCCTGCAGCCATCACACCCTGAGCTGTGCGTCCTGACTTCTTTATTTTAAATCGGTCTAGCTGTGAGCTTTCGCCTCACAGCTAAGTTTCCAAATGTGCTCTTATGGTCTGACTTTTTAAACTATTCTCCTGGATCAGAGAAAGATAAAGGGTTGGGTCTTTCCCTTTCCCTGTAAGTAAGAAACTGAACACTTCTCTGGGGTGAGCAGCGCCTCGGGGCAGGTGACACAGCCCGCAAATGGCCCCTGGCCACGGCCGGGATGCCACCGGGCTGAGGGGCTTCTCCAAACCCCATTGCACCTGCACAGCAAGAGCGACCTGAGCTCCTCCACGGCTGGGCCGCCGGGCCAGTCCGGACATG